ACGGGGATTCGAACCCGCGACTCACAGATTGCGAGTCGAGTGCCCTAACCACCTGGCCATGCCGGACCATCTAACCCACAGGAAAACTTCCAATATTTTGAAACAGGGGTTAATTCAAGACAAAAAAAAATCTGGGGAAATTGTTTTTTGACACATAATAAATCATCCATTTCATTTAGTCATAAGAAGTAGTGGTTTTGTGTTAGAAATCTCATTTTAGCTGGCATTACCGAAGACTCTGAAGTTTCTTCAGCAGGAATGCTTGCTGTTGGTATAACTATACCTTAAAAGTCCGTTGTAAGCTATTCTCCACCTCCTAAGTGGCTCTAAGCATTTGACGTGAACACCCGCTGTATCAAACTCATCTTTCTTTGCACAATTGTTGGATTCTGGATTGAAAGGAAGTTGGTAGTATCCATTTTCTCCATACTTCATATGTAGTTGAACTTCGGTCGCCTGGTTTTGTCGTCTTGTGATTTTTAGAATGATGTAATTTCCTGCTGGATTAGTACCACAAAAGAAGACCTCCTCAAATTCCTATAACAAAAATACACGCTTGAAATTTTCTTTTTATTTCGTAATAGTAGAATTTTATAATAACTCCTTTGACCATCATTCTAAGGCTAAAAAGTAATAGCCGTTTTTTTAAAAGTTTTCTGGGCAAACAACATCTTGTATTGGTCACTTTAAATTTTCCCAACCTCACATAAACATACAATTGATAATAGAATTAGTAACATCCCTCTGTCTTCTTCAAAAGATATTTCAACTTCTTCAACAAATCAAATAATTTTGATTTAAAATTTAGCTATACTATAATATATTCACTCGAATGTCTCTAACCATATTTATGTCTGTCTATTGTGTCATACATATTTGTCACACACAACAGGAAATAAAAAAAAACTCTACAAATTCTGTAATGTGTTGCCTTTCTTTCTTTACAACCAATTTACCACAGAAATAACAGAATATGTTTGGGTCATTTACACAACCTCTTATTGCCATAGCGATGAATAAATAATATCAAAAAGAAAAACTTAATGTCAAAATGCACCCACAAACAAATACTATTGGAAATTATAGAAGAAAATAATTTAAAAAATCATTGGAATTAGTCAAAAGATTGAAAATAAAAATGATTTAAAAATTCTAGAAGTGACACAAAGCTATTAACAAATTTTAAGAGGGTTAAAATAAACAGCAAAACACGGTAAAATATCTCTATTTAAGTTAACCCTAATAAATATTGTTAAGTCTAATACACTATTATACCGATAACTGATCTAATGTAATCATTTAAATAATGTTCAACACACTAAACTTCGAAAAATAAAATACAATATTTAGTCGTAGACTATTTTATATTTCATAGATTTATTTATGGTTTTTATGATTCATACATTCTTTCATGGTCTCGAGAACAATCGTCTTCCCAATATCTGATTATATTAGTCGGTGTGATTATATATTTAAATGTAAAAGTTTATGACGCGCGTAGTCTCGCCATAAAAGTTTCTGTAAAGTATACGAGTTTTGAGGAATTTGTGAACAATGATATTATTAATCATATATTTCCACGGACTTCTCGCGGTGGTTTCAAGTAACACAAGAAATTCGGTATAGATAATCAGTAAGTTTCATATATTGGTTAGTTTGGGCTATTGTGATCAGTAATAATAAATAACAATGATAACGTTTTCCATATCTTTGTCGCTGCCAGTTTTTAAAGTGAAAGTTACTTTGTTTACAGTTTATCAGCTCTGTTGTTTAACCGCCTTCCTAATCACTTAAGCCCTTGGCTGAACCCTTACTTTGAATAACATAATAAAACACAATGAACTCAAATCGTGTTTTATATTCACTGTGAGTTATAGATTTCGTCCCGCCTCTACTTTGAGATAAAATTAAATTGACTTGTTTTGTCAATAGACTTTTTCTTCGAATAAATACCATAAAAATGTTACACCTTTTTAGAAGTTAATAAAATCTTTTTATTTTATTTTTTTTTAAAAGTAAAGAGATCTTGCGATGTTTGGTTGTGGCAAGGAGGGAAGGATAACAAAAGGGACAGATAGTGATGGGGATGGAAACATAAGGAGGTTATTGCCATAGGAGATTCTTTAATACAACATGTGGATTGAATGTCTGTGGGTTACATAGGGAGAAAATAATTAGATTATGCTATACAAGGGCAAGGATGGAAGATATAAGCGGCGGAGCAGGCGATGCGGTAAAGGATGCTAGCAGTGACGAAGTTTAATGATGTAGAGACGGGTAAGTACAAGGCATTAATACGCACAGTTGAAATAAGGACAATAATAACTTAATTCTGTCAGAGATACTGCCAAAGCTTAACTATGGAGATGAAATTATAAGTAGAGCACTGGGACTGAATGCTAAGTTTAGGTTTATATGCAAGAAAAAGCAGGTTGGATGGTTGGATTTGTGGGATCAGTTTAGATTAATATGTAAGAAAGAGCAGGTTGGTTGGTAGGTTGGATTTATGAAATCAGTTCAGGTTAATATGTAAAAAAGGGCAGGTTGACTGATTGATTGGATTTATGGGATAAGTTCAGGTTAATATGTAAGAAAGGGCAGGTTGACTGATTGATTGGATTTATGGGATAAGTTCAGGTTAATATGTAAGAAAGGGCAGGTTGACTGGTTGATTGGATTTATGGGATCAATTCAGGTTAATATGTAAGAAAGGGCAGGTTGACTGGTTGATTGGATTTATGGGATCAATTCAGGTTAATATGTAAGAAAGGGCAGGCTAGCTGGTTGGTTGGCTTCATGGGATCAGTTCAGGTTTATGTGTAAGAAAAAGCAGATTGACTGGTTGGATTTTTAGGATCAGTTCAGGTTTATATGTAAGAAAGAGCAGGTTGGTTGGTTGGATTTGTAAGATCAGTTCAGGTTTACATGTAAGAAAAAAAAGCAGGCTAGCTGGTTGGTTGGCTTCATGGGGTCAGTTCAGGTTTATGTGTAAGAAAAAGCAGATTGACTGGTTGGATTTGTAGGATCAGTTCAGTTGGAAAAAGAGAGCTTTTAATTTATACTTTTATTTTACTTCTGACTATAAAATTAAATTACTTTTGAGCAAAAACTACTTATAATATTACGTTTCAGCATGCCGTCATTAGGGATTTTCCGACAAATGGATGTATCAACAAAAAACATATATGTAATTTGTTAATTACTGATATCAGCTGCTTAATAAGAGTTATAGCGTCTTTCTTTGTATTGGCCTGAGAACAAAACTTTGGGTTATCCTATAAACACAATATATTAAATTGAAGATAAACTATTATTGCAGATGTTTTGCTGAGAGTAGTAAATAGTAATTGGATTAGTTAAATTATTCGTCAGACTAGAAAGCACTTGTACACAGGTATGTATATATGAGGGTACCTTTGTCATTTTCACAGTATACAGTTGTATATTTAATGTAACTAAAATACATCACTATCCATTAATAAAACGGTAATATTTAAACGTTTTATTGGCTAACACGACTTACATTTGATTTCTTCAATACTTTAGGATTTTCCAGTTCCCTCTCTTCTTCAGAAGCAAGAACTCTGTATTTTATTTCACCTAAATAGTTAGTTGTTACATCTCTGAATCTCAGTCTTAGAAACTTTTGCTTCATAAGAAGATAACAAAAACCTACTGTTTGTTTTAAGCGGGACCACAAACCTGTAGGGGTAAAAAAAAAGGTAATGTAAATAGTGTAATATTTTAATGAAATCGAAGAAATGTTTAGGATAATAAAATTTATCGCAATTAATAATATTCTAAAAAGCTACTTAAATCCTAACTATCAACGTTAAAGATCTGTACTGTAGCCGAGAAGAAAATATAACTACAAAGCCAAGTGTTTTCTTTTTATTTATAATTGTAATAACAGTAATTCCAAACTCAACAATTCTGTTGAGAAATGCAAGGTTGAAACTTCGAAACGTTTTGAACTTTTACAAATAATTTGATGAATAAATACTTCTATATTTGTGTATGAGCAAAGTCTGTCTAGAACGTTCTTCTGTAAATGGAGAAACAAGTATTTGTTTTGGAAATGTTATATGCATTCTATCTAAAGAAAGCTACCTCTCCGATATTTCTTGATTAAAAGGTGCCCCCAGTGGCACAGCGGTTTGTCTGCGGACTTACAACGCTAGAAACGCTAAATACTCGTGGTGGGCAGAGCACAGATAGCCCATTGTGTAGCTTTGTGCTTAGTTAGAAATAAAATAAAAATTGATTAGAAGGAAATAAGCCATTTTTACTTCGAGACAATTATAATTACTAAGTGATAGCAGTCCTCCAGTGTTACGGCGGTAAGTTTATAGGCTTATAACACTAAAATATAGGGTTAGATCCCCCCGGCGGGCACAGCAGATAGCCCAAAGTAGCTTTGCTCCAAAACAAACAAACAAATAAATAAAGTGTTATAGCAGTGCTCAAATTATAACTAGGTAAAAAGTGAAAATACATAAATGTAATGAAAGAAGTGAATCCATACTCTCATATACCCCTCCCCCTTTTAGTGGCTAAGCGGTAATTTTGCAGGCTTACAACACTAAATACCAGGTTGCGATACCCGTTGTAGGCTGAGCACAGATAACCCATTGTGTATATTTGTGCTTAACTGTGTATATATATATATATAAATCATGTAATTTCATTACGTGATTAATCAGTCATTGATTATAATAAAATTCTATCTGACAATGCTTTTGTATAAAACAGACATTAAAAGTAAACGAAAAACCAGCTTTACCAATGGCTGATAGAGGTGTCTGACACAAGGAGAATCAGTACGACTGTGGCTGCACATATCTTCTTTCATTGAGGATAATTCAGTCAGTAAATTCCCACTTTCGAAACATTCGTCCATACGCAAAATTTTGAAATACGAGGAGACGAAATTATTATTTATTTTAACAACAAAAACGGAATTTGCTCAATGTTTCCTCCCTTCGAGTTCTATTTGACAATAAACATCTGATGCTTAGGATAACTAAGCTTGACAAGTGAACGATAGTTATATGAGATTCGTGTCTGAGTAAAAAATAAGATGAATCAGACGTTATACGTTGACGTTTCTTTCAGTACCTTGTTTTTTGTGTAAGCCTAAATTAAGGATACGGCACAGGGCTTTTAGGGGCTTAATCAATTGTTAATAATTACGACAAAGTAGTATCACTTTAACTTCGAGTACCTATTGTTTCAGGGTTTTAGTCATCTCTCAGCGATTGGTAACGAAAAGGTTTCATTTGTTGGATTTTTCTACAATGACACACATTTCCCTCTTTTGGTGAAACTTGAATCCAAACCTATGTCAACGAAAAATAACGTTTGGTAACATCTTTACGGGATAAGAAATCTAATTCTTTCTGTTCCCTATATATTTACAGTTGTTGATTAAAGTAATAGGTTAAGGTTAAGGTTATAGGTTTAGTGCCTCTTCAACAACTATTTTAATATATCAAAGTACTGACCCGGCATGGCCAGGTGGATAGGGCGCTCGACTCACAATCTGAGGGTCGCGGGTTCGAATCCGCATCCCACCAAACATGCTCGCCCTTTCAGCCGTGGGGGCGTTATAATGTTACGGTCAATCCCACTATTCGTTGGTAAAAGAGTAGCCCAAGAGTTGGCGGTGGGTGGTGATGACTAGCTGCCTTCCCTCTAGTCTTACACTGCTAAATTAGGGACGGCTAGCGCAGATAGCCCTCGTTTAGCTTTGCGCGAAATTCCAAAACAATCAAAGTACTGTCCAGTCATCAAGTAGTTAACTTATTAAATGTAATTGTGTCATCTGAGCAAATGGAAATTTTAAGTCTAGACATACATTTTTCGGTTAACAACAATTTTTCAGTCAAAGAGGATTTTACCGTGTTAACAGAAATGTGTTTTTAAACGATTAAGGTTAATGGGAGGATAGAACATACAGTTAGAAAAGAAAAATCCAATGAGTCATTGGACCAGAATAGTAAATCTAGATTTAATTTAAGTAACTTTGTATTAGAAAATTTCCGCCTTTTACACGTTTGTATTTAGAGTACTGTAAATCTTTTTTAACGATTGTGTTAGTTTTCTCGAAACAGGGACAGGGTCTATAATTATTGATTGGCTACGTAAGAAGCATAGCAATAAATTAATAATGTCACTATGTGCAAAGTTAAAAGTAGATGGTATGAGGTTTGTCTGCCCTATGTTCTAGGAATGTCAACAAGAATAGGTAAGATTCTTACAGACTTTATTGTAACTTTCTCCCCGTGTTGTAAGTTAAATAATTAATTCACGGATGTAAAGGGTAAAATAGAACAAGTCGATAAATATAGTTTTTACAAAATTCCTTGTATCTATGGTCGAGCATACAACGGCTAAACTTGCAGAAGTCTGAAATTAGGAATAAAGGAGCATAAAACAGGAAGAAATTGCACAGGAATGTTAATAGCTTTACGTGGATGGAAATGCCACAATTGTCAAATTTTCTAATTAAGGGCGTGACTATGACCATATTTTTGATCAATCAAAGTAACTGTTCAACATGTGCTCCTCCAGCGTCTAAAATGTACTGCATTCCAGATAAAATGGACGTTACAGCAACAACATGTATCTGATCTGGTATGCTGATCACTTTCTGGACACTTGCATCCTTGAGGTCTGGAATTGTGCGAGGCTTTTCATGGCACTCGCATGACTTCAGATACCTCCATAACCAGAAATCAGCCGGTGTTAGGTCCTCCATAACCAGAAATCAGCCGGTGTTAGGTCCGGTAAATAAGGCGGCAATTCACGAAGAATGTAACATAAAATGAACCAGTCCTGAAAGTGTTTCACCTGGTGAGCCATATGTGGAGAGGTATGAAAACTATAGTATCTGGCACATTTCATTGCTGTAGCATAGGCATCGAATTGGTTGTGAGTATTGCATGGTACAGTGCATCCTTGACTTAGTAGGTTTACAGTCCACATTCCGGTGGTTTTTCAAACCTTTACGGTCCAATAACAAAATCAATTATGAAACCGCACCACACTGTCACCTTATGGTGATGTGTTAGGAATGTTAAATGTGGATTATATACCGACTAGATAATGCTGTTGCGCATGTTGATTCTTCCAGGCAGTGTGATATGTACTTCATCAATCCATAAGATATTTGCAGGCCGTTAGTCATCGACATCCAGTCTTGCCAAGAAGTGCAATACCAAACCAATACCCCAGGTAAAGTTCAACTTATTCAGATGTTGCTTGTAAGTAAATTGGCTGTAAGTAAAAAGGTGGTTAGGGTGCTTGACTCGTAATCAGAGGGTCGCGGGTTCGAATCCCCGTCACACTAAACATGCTCGTCCTTTCAACCGTGGGGGCGTTATAAAGTGACAGTCAATCCCACTATTCTTTAGTAAAAGAGTAGCCCAAGAGTTGGCGGTGGGTGGTGATGACTAGCTGCCTTCCCTCTAGTCTTACAGTGCTAAATTAGGAACGGCTAGCGCAGATAGCCCTCGTGTAGCTTTGCCCGAAATTCATAACAAACAAACAAAAATATAGCAACAGAGCTTCTGAAACTATAAGATTACAGAAGCATTCCAGTTAAAATTAAGACTGTGATAATGTAACTTGAAGAACTGCAAAACTTATGGAAGCAGTGATAAAGAAACTTTGGAAAAATAAACTTAAGAAAACAAACCAATGGAATTTTAGAGACTATAGATTTATAGAAAGAGCACCATGTACATCCGGGACTATAAATATAAACGAAACCGTGCCAACAGACTTTAGGGACTCTAAACTTATATAAAACACTCCAACAGAATTTCAGGAACGATAAAGTTATAAACGCAACGCTCATAGAAGTTCAGGAGCTACAAATTGACGGAAGTGGAGCTAATGCTAGTTTATGGAATGTAAAATTACAAAACGTTTCCACAGAATACTAAGGACTATAAAATAACGATCCATTGCTAACTGAACATCATGGAAAGGAGACTTATGTTTTGTTTGCTTTATATTTGAATTTCGCAAAAAGCCGTCCCTAATGTTAAAGTTATAGAATAGAAGGATAGCAACTAGTTAAAACCACCCACCGCCAACTCTTGGGCTACTCTTTTACCAACGAAACGTGGGATTGACCTTCACGTTAAAACGCAACCTCAGGATGATGACAAGATTCGAACTCGCGACTGCGAATTGAGCACCCTAGCCATCGCTTTGATATATAGGTGAGGATTGCGTGTATCTTCAAGACATCATAAATTACGAAGCTTAAGTACAATATTTTGATACAAAATTGAGAAATTTATATCATATATGTACAGGACATCATAGATTATAATGTTTAAGTCGTGTATGACGTTACAATGTATGACCACGTTAAATTTATAGATAATGTTTAATGTATAATGCTACATTGTACGAACATGTTAAATGTACAGATTACAATGCTTACGATCTTACAATGTATGAGTATGTTGGATTACAAAGACAATATATCAACAAACCGTATAAAGTTTCGCTTAGATACCTTTAAAATACTTTAGAAAAGCCCCCCCCCCCCACCGGCACACAGTGGCTCAGCTCACAAAGCTAAAAATCGGGTGGGTCCAGCACCGATAGCTCATTGTGTAGCTTTGTATTTATAAACAAACAATATTAAAATCTAATATAGCAGTGGTCAAATATACAATTTTTTATGAAAATTAAATAATTGAAAAATATTATACATTAAACAAACCACAAAGACATGATTTGAAAACAATGTGGGAGTATTTTTTTAGTATATTGTTCAACACTTAGTCTTCTAACAAAACTGTTTTGGTGGCTCTGTTTCTAAGGTATTTTTGCTATGGTAGTTTCGTTTCTTATTCATTATGAGCCATTAATGTTACTAATTTTACTACCTACTTTAATGAATATTTGTTCGGCAACATTAACTTTCTTCTTGAAATGTAGATATAATTTGTAAGAGTAATTTCAATCCTAATTATCTGTATTATAATACCGTGGTTAAAATCACATTAAATACTTATTCTAAAATAAATATAATAAACAGTGTTACATACTCGTTTTTTCCTTTCGTCTGGGCTGAATTAGTTTGCGCCATCTATACAAAAAACAGAAAAAATCTGAAAACAGCGAAAATGGAAAGTTTAAAATATTAAAGATAGTTCCTAATTTGAACATTATTTCAGGCTTGTATCACCAGAGGAAGAGAAGCGACTGCTACCAAAGACCTGACTCCACGCAAGTGTCCGATGAGTGTTAATTTAGATGCTACAATCTATAAGTATTATCAAGAGGTTCACATGTTATCATTCATTTGTTCTATTCAATGGTTGGCTTACATTTTCTTACTCTTTTTATCGCAAGTCACGCAACATTGTTTTTTTTTTTTTTAGTTTTCGAAACGGCTTGTTTGTCTATTTAGAGCAAATACAAAATGGGCTATTTGGTATGTCCACCGCAAGGAATCGAACTCCGGAATTTAGCGTTGTAAGTCAGCAGACTTACCGCTGTCCCACTTGGGAGACTTTCCAAATGGTTTACAGTCCAATTAGTAACTTTATCTAATTATATGTTTCTAAATTATACGCTTGTAAAATATTTTTACATATTCCCAGGCTCATTACTCTTGTTTTCGTGCTTTTGAGAGTAAATATATGTACGTTTGGTTTGTAGCTGGTGTAAACAAATCTCAAACCCATAGAACTACTACTGATCTTTCACAAAAAAGGAGATGGATAGCATAAGCATGCAGTACAAGAAAAGGACCGGGCGTGTCCTATTGTTATTATTCCTGACTGTGAATCCGAGGATCCATGATTCGCGCTCCATTGCCTAAAGATCCCACTATTCGATTGGAGTAGCTAGTGATGTTCGCTATCTGATTTCTCTCTAGTCTATTATATCAAGTTTATAGACGGCTAGAGCAGGTAAGTCCTGTTTTCTTTGTGCGAATATCCGAAACAAATAAGCAAAATGCAATGAAAAGGCAGAATGTACCATGTGTTTTGACGTGCGTAAAATTTAGGGTTTTAACACCAGTAGTGACTACAAAGTTTATTTATTTGATGTTAATATCAATCATCCTCACTGCTGGTACAATAATTAAAACTTAAATACATCAAAAATTGAATACGTCTTCTTCTGTTTTTTCTTATATATGTGTGAAATATAACATGTGTATGATTATATGCTAAGGGCAGTTTTATTTATAATTATTACCAGCGCCAACTGTCTCAAGATTTGTATGTATATAATGATTTTATGTACCATTCTACATCTATTCCTGCATATTTGAATACGATAACTAACTTTGATTAGTACTTGTTTAACACTTGTGTGTGTGTGTTTAATATTGCCTGTAAGCGATCCGTTCTGAAAGCTAGACAGAGAATCTCAGCCTGCTTCCTTTTAAAAATTCTGTTTGGGGAGGCTTTTATAACTGTAGGATTACTGGAAAAAGCTATCATTCGGTCAAATCTCTTTTATTAGGTTTTAGCCTTATTGGATTTGATGTTTAAGCATTCTATAATTATAAAAGTAAATAAAGCTGGCTCTCAAAACAAGGAGAAAAAGTTGATTAGCTTTAGAAACATCTGCAAACACGTATTCCTCATAATATAAACCATGGCCAGGTGGTTAGGGCACTCGACTCGCAATCTGCGGGTCGCGGGTTCGAATCCCCATCACACCAAACATGCTCGCCCTTTCAGCCGTGGGGGCGTTATAATGTTACGGTCAATCCCACTATCCGTTGGCAAAAGAGTAACCCAAGAGCTGGCGGCGGGTGGTGATGACTAGCTACCTTCTCTCTAGTCTTACACCGCTAAATTAGGGATGGCTAACGCAGATAGCCCTCGTGTAGCTTTGCGCGAAATTAAAAAAACAAACAAACAAAAAACATAACATAAGAACTAAATCAGTTACAAGCTAAATAATAGTTTTAGAGTGAAATCAAAATATTGTTACAAAACTGCAATTGTATTTTTTTATACAAATCTTTAGCAAACCACTGTTGAACTGGTGAGTTCATCATAAAAGCACGGTAACATAGACGAGAATTAATACGTTGGAGCTGCTTAACACCCATGTATCATGACAAGAAAAATATTGTATCAGTACATATAACAATATCAGTTTTTGTATATGTACATAATGTGGAACTGAAGACAGGTTTATCAATTTAATACTTGTGTATCTCAAAACGGGTTGCTCATGAAGTATATAATTAACAATAGTAAAAATCACTATATATATAGTCAGTCCAAAATTTACTCAGTTTTCGAAATACTACTCAAGTTTTGACGTATATATATATATAATATTCAGTAGTTTTACCGTACTTTATGACACTCAATACAACTGCAGTTTCTTGAATGTACAACAAATTATTTTTTCGATCAAAGTTATAAAAACGTTTTTACGATATCGAAAATACGACAAGATTACGTTCCTATTTTTCGATTCTCTTGGCAGAAATAAGTGTAAATATTTACTTCTTCTGCCTTGAACCGCATACTTTATCTAACCTATTGTACTGTATATTGTACTGTAGCTATCCATTTGTTTGTTTTTATCACGATGCCTTTTTCATGTTACTTCATTTAATTTTGAACTGTGTTCTTAGTCTGTAAGGCTCACGTACATATGAAGCGCTGAAAATACTTGGCTAGCATTCTCCTATGCAGGTCATATTTTTAAAAGTTTCTTATACGATCTCAGTATTGTTTGAGATGTCTTTGAACAGTAAAGTCAACACGTTCGTGCTACTTTTTTTACTTATTCCTCGTGGCATCATTAATTAGGGGACGAGAATAGGGCATCTTCAGTGTTGTTTCTTCAGTTTTATATTTTTTATATCAGAAAAAAAAGCATGCTTAGTATTGTTATTAGTGGATATAATTTTATTTAAAATAAAACAATTTGCTAATAATTATGTTTAAAGATTAGGTTACATTCAAGGGGCATAATTTGTTACTTTCGGGACGTACTGGAATTGAATTTTCCTGATAAAATTTACTTGTGAAAATTTTCTCTCTAATGTATAAATTTTAAATTGAGTACGTAATTAACAACGAGCATGCAGGCAACCAACTGAATCACGCTAGCTTAGTACAGAATGAAATTCTCAATCTTATCTTGTACAACGCTACTTGCAAGTCTCTGAAAAGGCTATGTTTATGACTAAATGTAGGTCAAGGTGTTCAGTTTTCTGCAACATATAAGAAACAATACAAATAAGTTACTGCAATTAAATATGATGAAAAGACACTCATCATTGTGTTTTTAAAAATAAAAATCCATAAAACCACTGTTGAGGCTTGACATGGTACTAAATGTAAAGACAAATATGTAAACAAGTGTCTAGTTTTACTCCTATGCTGAACATTTATCAAACAATATCCCATATAAAAGAGTAATGCTTTCCTTGTGTATCTGGGAGTTAGATAAATTATCATTTAAGATCTGATTCAATATCTTTCTACCGATGGTTTTTCTTATCTTACGTCACAAGTACAAGTAACTGACCTTGTTGGTCATCGGGTGTTTCGTAAAAGAAAACAAATAAACACTGAGTTATGCTTGTGATTGTTGTTAATATAGTGTTTGATATGGCCTCTGAAGTAGATTCATTAGACAGGAATCTCACCTTTGGTTATCAGGATTGCAAATATGGAATTTCTCCAAGAATATTTGGATTTGTTTATAAAGAAAGCAACATTCGGCACATGAATGAAAATTTGGCAGAAATAATGGGAAACTGAGACCTTTACATGGGTTCACTTATAAGTATTATTCAGAATAACAGATCTGAAATTAAAGATGAGTTTGCCTGAATCAAGATCAGTAGAAAACCAGAATTCCTGTGTTTTGTTAGTTTAATATTTTGCATGCGTTGATTTAATCGTAGAATAAGAGAAAATAAGTGAATAAAGTCCAAGTAGGAGGTATGATAAAGAATCGAGTTTATCAAACAGAAGAGGATTTTGGTGTTAATTCGTGTTATTGGTTGAGTAGACGATTTGTCCTAGATTAATGGATTGTTTGCTCTTATACACGTGGAATATGCAAGGCCGTCTACAGAGGCAATAATAAACACCACTTATATGTGTGTATTCATGAAAATAGAACCGACCAAAAATGACCATCTCTCTCTCTCTACCTTTGCTATATACACACACACAGTCAAACTACTAATCAAGAAATGTCCTTATTTGACTCTAAAGCTCTAACGACAAGTTGTACAGAAATGGATTACTTACAAAAAGTGTTTCTGTGTTTGGGGTACCGTGTTTATATAGGAAGTGTTGGTTATACGTATATAACGCACTGATGTGTTCTGAGATGCGCGTGTGCGAAGGTCTTCCGGTTTGTCCTATATATGCGTCTCCATATATATTTTTATTTATTAGTGTATCTAACTAAACAGAATATTTTTTAATTTAAATAACTGTTATACTTATGTAGGACTAAACTTTTTCTAGTTTACTTCGTGTATTTATCTTGTAATTCTGTATTTCCTTTATAAATATCGTGGGCGTATTTCATAAATAAAATGAGAACTAACAAAACTTAGTCAATAATTTTATGAATAATGATATTGTTGTTTTCGCGAGTGGAAAGTGAATTTCGTAAATTATTCCTTAGTTTAGGAGTTAGGGTAGAAGGCTTGTCTTATTTCGAAAGCCTTTTTTTAATTTCATAGGTTTTTTTCCTTTTTCTGCTTTTTGAATTTTGTAAGAAAGAACTAAATTGAACTTTTGCAGGTAAAGGAGAATATCCTAAAAAAAGCCCGGTTTACTGAAATGTCAAGCATTGCTAAGCAGGACAGGAATTAACGGAAACGTTAAATTTTAAATTTAAAATGTTGGTAATTAGGGCATCCGACCCGCAATGTGCAGGTCGCCGGATTGAAAGTCATTGCCGAATATTCTTGTATTTTCTGTTATTGTTAGTATTACTATACTTTTTCAGTTAGGCTTGGCAATAACAAATTTGATAAACAATTAGCAGAATAGACTGTTTATATAACATCAAATAACACATAAATACTTACGAAATAAGTTTTGTTGAAAAACAGTTAAAAGAATAAAGTTAGAA